TACATTTGCAATGACAAGTTCATTTGTTTTACAAAGAACATGCATTTAAGGTGGCTGGATTTATAAGGGATATAAATCTCCTATTAAGGTCCAGAGTCTGCAAAGTTTCAACCTTCTCCTCTTGGTTCCCATAGCATTTGTGCTGCCTATACAGTGCAGTTATTACATTATGTTGTTATTATCTACCTAAGTCTGTCTATCCACTATATTCTGAAAATCTTAAAGTCACCTTATTCATCTAGGCATATTGGCGTCTAGAACCTGAAAGAATCAATGGTGGAACATAACAGTTGTTTAATAAGAAATGAACAAATAATTGAATGAATACAAAGTTAATGGATTATAAAGGAAAAATAAGTATTCAAAGGTATAGCACACCATCTCATTCACCTGAACAATTTACAGTACATTTGTACGCTAGGCCAGATTCTATCTTTTTAGCTTCAGTACATCCACAGCAGCATTTCAAACTGTGACCATCTGGATCATTAGATGTAAATACTGATTTGGCAGATACTTCAGGGCTATGAAAAGTAGTTGTAGGAATAAGATGAATTTAAAAGATACTACCACACAAAGGACATATTTAAAGCCACCCACTTTGTTATTTAGATAAAAACATGACATGTCTTTCTAATATATAAATAACATCTTAGTAATTTTTATAAATGGAGGATATACATAGTCTGAATTTTCATTTTGAGAGATTATGGGACTGCCATTTAGTACTTGTCACCTCTAAATAGAATCCCAAGCACATAGAAAATCCTCTACTCAAAAAATCTATCACTAACTTAACACATAGAAAAATCCTAAGATTAATATAAATATAACATGCCTTTTTTAAATGTCACAGCATTAAGTCAATTCATGTGTCTTTTAAAAACTCATTCAAAAGTATAGCATTTCCAATACACATGTGAACTTAGCCCCATTTTCAAAGGCCACTAAGTGAACCTCTCTATTTACATATAAAATGAAGTATGGTATTATTGAAGCCATCAAATAAATATTCATTTTAAAACAAACTTTATATAGCCATTCGGTATGACTTCTGTTCTAATATGTACCATGCTTTTCAAAAAGGAAAGATATTACTAGAGTTGTCCAGCCAATCATTAATTTGTGTCTACTTTATTTATTGGCTACTTTAAAAAATAACAATAATAATGGAATTATCAAGCAGCTCAGAACAAAAGTGCTTTCTGATTGTCAGCTCCCCATTCTAAAAGAGCAGGTTAATTTCTTTAAATCTCACAGTTGGAACTTTTTAACACTGACTGGCAGTTTCCACCTAGTGATCAAGGCAATTGACTAAAATAAATTATACATAAAGCTGAAATTCCTAATAGTAATAAGGCCCCCTTCATGAGATAATCACAGCAGCAAAAGCACTCATCTGTCGGCTGCAGCTCTACAGGGTCTTGCTTGAAATTACCTTATAAAAACTGTACTTCCCACATGTTTTCATTTCTAGTTTTACAATAGGACTAAAATGTCAACGAGAATGGAGTAGCCAATGGGCAGTCAGTTGGAATATTTGTTTGTTCTTCCAGATGGCAATCTGATGGTAAAGACAACTCATGATTTGAGTCAAAGGACCTTGCTTCAGCTCCACACTGAGACACTTATAGACCTTGTGTAACCTCTGACTCTCAGAGTTTTCATTTATAAAGTGGACATAACAGTACCTAACAGGGCAGTTGTGGAGAAAACACACACAGAATTGTCAAGGAGTAAAAAGGTTCTGAGAGACAGATTTGGGTATCCTTTCTCTACATAAATTTTTTAAGAACCACTTTTGTCTTTTATTACTATAACCCTGCTAAAGGAAACATATATAAAATTTAGAAATCTTTGATTTCTAGAAATTTAGAGTGATAGATAAAATATTTAATATTAAATCTTTATATATTGCTATCTAATTATCTTCCTTCCAAACTGACATGTGAAAACTATAAAATAAGAGTTTTATGTGAAAAAGTCCACATAAAACTATTAGATCATTCTTATTCTTTTGTGTAGATAACAAGAGATAGAATGGAATCTTCACATGCTAAAACCAGACTTGGGGGATAGGAGTGGATCTCCATCTAATTAAATGTCCTAAAACAATTAATCAAGGATAAAACCAGAACGTTGGCCCATTCTCAAAATTTTCATTTTAGAAAATTATTAAAGCTGATTTTTAAAGAATTAGGAACAGCATATATTTATATCTCAGAAAGTTACAACTCAGAAAGTTTAATGAACAAGGTAAGGGTTCACATGAATTGGGTATTTTCCTCCCCTGTTTCTAGAAATTGAGCAGTTCTTTATCTGCCTTGTTCCAAAAAGGACACAAATTCCAGAATAAACAGTGACTTGTTTTCAAATGTCTTATAGAACCAGAAATAAGATTTTAAAAACACTGAAAAGTAACTTAAATAGATTGATAGAAAAATGTTTAATTTTGTGTACCAATTATGATAATTTTATGAGCCACTGAAGTTTTACATGTTTAAGTCCCTAAGTTTGTTATATATAGATCTGTAAAGGCTGCAAAAATAGGTACTTCTCCTTATTTTTCTTTCTCCCAAAGTTTCCATTTTGATATTTTCTTTTTTAAAAAAAAAATTGCTCCTTCTTTCTCTATCCCATAATTTTAAAGTTACAGAAAACTTCACATATTTCTCCTACATGAGATGTGGTTTTTCAAACTCTATAACTGTTCTCTTCTAAAACTAAATATTATGTAAAATCTTTAAAATTCCCTAAATATCATAAGATAGAATAAAAAATGATAGTAGGATGTAGGTAAGTTGTGACATTTGTTTTAAACAATTGAGATGACAATAAATTAACTATGGAATTAAATTATGGGCCATAAAGAGAGGTATCATTTAAAAGAGAACAGTCATGCCTAAAATGCCTAATTAGGACTGCTACAGTAACCTAGTTCTGCAACAGAGTAAGTCCCTTCCCCAGGGAGGGTCTTGTGGCAAAAAGACAGAATCCAGCAAAAAGAACCCTCCTCCTAATGAGCGTTTTGAACAGCAATTTTGTTCATTTACATCTCTCTTATCTCATAAAGTTCAGATAAATTTGTCTACACTTTGTATTAATTTCTCTGATATTGACTCTCATTCTGTATTTTCAAAAACTATGAAAAGAAATTTATTCCACTAGGTCCTTCTGATGTGTAAATTAATTTGTAGGGGTGGCATTTCAGGTGAGTTTAGCACATTAGAAGTAACTATTACCTACACTAATGGAAGTGAGCTATGACCCTCATAACTCAAAAGGGGATATTATCTAAAATTGCCATTTGCTCTTGTGGAAATGTGTGGGAACTGATAATTCAAGCAAGAACTTTGTCTTCAAGGAATTTACAGTCATGTGGGAAAACTAAGACGTGTGCACAATAAGACAAAAATAAGTCCTTAATGACTTAAGAGATGTATAGATAAGATGTTCTGAGGACTCAAAAATGAAAGAATGGGGGCTAGTGGGAAAGGGTGCAGTTGGGGACAACCAGGCCAGCAGGGGAGCAGTTGGAGGCACTTAGGCTGGTAGGGAGGCAGTGAGATGTGTCTAGGCCAGTAGGGGAGGGGGCATTTGGGAGCACCCAGGCTGATGGGGTGGGGTAGCATTTAGGGGCAACCAGGTCAACACGCAGAGAGTGAGGGGCAATCAGGCCAGTAGGATGGGGCAGTTAGGGGCGACCAGGAAGTCAGGCAAGTGAGCAATTAGGAGCCAAAAGTCCAGATTGTGAGAGGGATGTCCGACTACCAGTCTAGACCAGCAGTTGGATATTCCCTAGGGATCCTGGATTGGAAAGGGTGCATGCTGGGCCGAAGGGACCTCCCCTACCCCCATGCACAAATTTTGTGCACCAGGCCTCTAGTAAGAGTATAACATGAGAGAACCTGAGGAGATGGCCTTTGTAACTCACTCCTATATTAAAAGTCTATCTTCATAAATCTGATAACCATTATCGTATTTGAAATCAGAATTCACTTTTTGGGGTTGGGGGGGCAATAAGAAATAAACCCTAATTTGTTGGATACCAAATTTCCTGTGGCAGAAAGCCATCTAGATCCTCCAACATCTCCCACCTCATCTCCCTCATGCTTGTAAATATGAATGCACAAGTTCTAACAACATGGTCCTTAATCAGTGATATGGAAAAGTAAGATACTTAAGGTGGAAGAACCCACAGCAGTTCTTTCTGGAAAAGTAAACACAAGTTTCATATACCATCATCTTCAACTCTGACTCATTTGTTCAGAAATGCCTAGGTACAGCATTGGTGAATGTGCTTTGAGCGTAAAATACGGTATCAATTAAATAGGCGAGGGGCTATGGGATTCTTTTTTATTACTGTGTATTTGTTTTCCAACCCACCACTTAGATTTTTGCCAATATTAGGATTTAGATTTTTACACATATGAGGATAAAGAAAAAGAGAAAGTTAGACCTCCCTTGAAATGAGTAAAAATGAAAGTGCAAAAACTTACTCTGTTGTTTTTTAGCTACTGGAAATTCAGAAATTCTAATCAATAGTCTTATCAAAAAATCTAAATATAAAGTATTAAACATAATCCTATTTGAGATGTAAAGAGACCCAAACTTAGGGAGGGGTGATTTTAGTAAAGAAAGTGCCTAGCTTGTAGAGGTATTTAATAAAGTTGAGAAGTTTGCCAGGAGTGTAGCAGTGCCATTCAAAGTAGAGTCTCTAGCAGAGTCATCTTGGTCTCATTTCCTGAACCATTGAATTTTGGATCTAGTTCAATGAATGTTAAAAGCATAAATGAGCTGTTTAAAAACTGAAGTGGGTTGCAATCACTCATGATGATACCTTAGTGAAGGAAAGACCACTGCACAGATGCTGATGAGCCTAAGAATTTTCCAGTTCTGAAAAAATCATACTGCTCCTCCTGAGGAATTTACAATGAATTTGTAGACTGTATTTATCTTTATCTGGAAAGTCACTTATGCTTGTGTATTGGCTTTTGCAGCAAGAGAAACTGGGTGATATCTGCTTCTCCCTTCGCTATGTACCCACTGCTGGCAAACTGACTGTTGTCATCCTGGAGGCAAAGAACCTGAAGAAGATGGACGTGGGTGGCTTATCTGGTAAGTCTGTGATTTAAAAAAAAAAAATGCTGTTTCATCTTGGTGACCAAGTGCATAGCACACATGCTGTGACTCTCCAGCCCTTAATTGATCACTGTTCTCTTTCTTACGGGGGCTGGAAGCAATCTCAGAACTCATCCCCACACAGTACCCCAGGAAGCCACTCGCAAAGTATTGGAATTGGCACAGAAGATGAAATCTATTTTCCTGCTTCATAGCATAAGTATCAATTGCCAATTCTATATCATTGAAAGCTGAAAATGTCTGCTTTTCTTCTAAAAGGCAATGCCACCCTGGCCAATGTGGCTCAGTTGGTTGGGTAAAATCCTATGTAATGAAAGGTTGCCGGGTTGCATGCTCGATCCCCAATAGGGAGCAGCCAGGAGGTAGCCAATTGATGTCTGCTCTCACAACAATGTGTCTCTCTCTTCTCCTCTCTCTCCCTCTCCCTCTTCTCTTTCTCTCTCTCCCTCTCCTTTCCTCTCTTTCTCTCTCTCTCAAAAATAAATAAGTAAATGAAGACATTAAAATAAATAAAAATACTATATACATATATATACATATACATATATATGATTTTAAAAAATAAAAGGCAATGCCTATGACCTACTATAGTTTTGTTTAGTTTGGAGAAGTACTTTTTTTGGTTCAGAATTCACTCATCATAGGAAAAATAGTTTTTTATCTGAGACTTATTAGGTGTTTCATAGACTAGCATCATTTTTAAAGATACTGTTTTATTAAAGTTTCTACATTTCAAAATATATGTAAAATAAAGTCTGTTGATTGTGAATCCCCATGGTAATGCATTTATTTTCTGTAGCTTATATTGGAGATGGGAAAGACTTTAGGATTTAAAGTTCCATAAAACCCAACCTTAGTGTTTTTTTTAAATGGTGAGTAAAGTGTAGTATACTCCTGCTCAAAAGCCAAGTCAAGTCCATGACTTGTCATTTCCACAGTTGAATGTACTGTTTAAAAATTTTCTGTGTGATTAAATATTTAATTTTCTAGTGAATTATTACAGTGTGAGGAATGTTCTTGATAAACCACAAGGTCATCATAAATAGACTACAGTTGTCATTGTTTGTGGCTGTGACACTAGAACTAGCATTACTGGTTATTCAGTGCTTTCTCCAGTAAGAATTTTGAAAACTTCAAAAGGTCACCCCAATGCATCCTGGAGATTTTATATTCTAAAGCAGTGATATTCAACACAAGAACTTTTAAATATGCTATACCTGAGTCAGGGACACTGACCTCTTTGCTTTAGATTGTCAAATAAAAAATGACAACAGCCAATACAACAGCTATCCAGTGTGAATGAATCAAAATTATACCTATTTTTTGTAAGATTGGCAAAAAACATAATTACTGGTAATTAGTTTACATGTGCCATGAGATGAAAAAGGTTGAAAATTGCTGTTCTAAAATATAACAGCTAAAAAAAAAAAATGCTAGAGCTGAGTTCCTATTTACACCACTAATTTGTTAATGAAATTCTCCTGGTGCCTCTTTATAAGTAAGTCGCCTGAGGAAGCTGCACTAATTCTTTCATGTCACTAAGACCTCATTTAATAACTTACTGCTTCCATTGCCTAGTAGCATAACTAGCATATTTAAAGTGAGGAGCAGTTTCCTGTAAAGAGTACTTAATGTTATCTATGTCAATACAGACATACCTTCCCGAGCTCTGTCCACTGAAAAGGCCTAGAAACAGGCTAAGTAGCCAAGAGCAATCCTAGCACAAGCTAAGATTTGAAAGTATAATTCCTCATGAAAAGAACCTGGGGCATATTAGAGAAATGGGAGATTCCAGATGTGACACAGAAAGTGTTCAAGACAAGCCTAGACCATTCCACCTACCAGAAAGCAAGGGAACTATCAGACTAGTGGGGAACCAACTTGAAATGGTTTCCAATGACAAAGATGTGATCATTTAAACTTTGTAATGAGAGTGTGATGTATTCAAACCTTAAATAAGAGGATTTGGGGTGCCTACATGTAAAAAAATTCAGAGACATTTTTAATTACAAGAACAATTTACTACCAAATCACTATCTAGTATCCTGAGGTATGACTTTAGATACCTTTGACCTTTAGCTTTCCTTTAGTTCAATAGCCAGATCCTATCACAGGTTCTGTTCCAACTCCCATGCCAATAATATCATCATCCTCTGTGCCTAGTAATCCCCTAGTCTGCCTTCCAGTTCATATTATACCCCTCAAAGCTGCCTCCATTCTTTACTTAAGTCCTTTTCTTTACCTGGAATTCCTTTCCTTTCACCAACACCTAGCTAAAATCTATCCATTCTTTAGGCTCAGCTTAAGTCTTATTTTCTCCATCCATTCAACAAATGTACTGTGCCCCTACCTTATGTTAGGTATTTCTTTTTTTTAATTATTGCTTGTATTACAGATATCCTCCTGTCATCCCCCTTCCTCCCTCCAACAAACCCTAGCCCGACCCCAGGCCTTTACCACATTATTGTCTGTGTCCATGGGTTATACATATATTCATATATGTTCTTTGTTCAATCTTTTCCTGTTCCCCCACCTCTCTGTCCTCTGCCATCTGTCAGTCTGTTCCATGTGTCTAGGCCTCTAGACCTGTTATGTTCATCAGATTATTTTGTTCATTATATTTCACATATAAGTGAGATCATGTGATATGTGTCTCTGACTGGCTTATTTCACTTAGCATAAAACTCTCTAGGTCCATCCATGCTGTTGCACAGAGTAAGAGATTCTTCTTTTTTACAGCTGCATAGTATTCCATTGTGTAAATGCACCACAGCTTTTTTATTCACTTGTGTTAGGTATTTCTGAAAATATTGGTAGATTTGCATAATTGGACAAAACAGCCCGAAAAAACTACCCTCATGAAACTTATGTTTTAATGTGGGGAGATGGACAGGAAGCCAATAAATAAGAAAAACACATAGTATGCCAAGAGGTGAAAAGTGCCACTGAGAAAGCAGAGCAGGAAGCAGGAGAAGGAATGTTGGGATGTGACTGTAAAGAGGGAGTCTGAGAAAGCTACCTGGAGAGAGATGAGGGAGTGAGCCACAGGGTGTCTGGGAAGAGAAAACACTTTAGGTAGAGGGACTTCACGAAGCCTTTTCTGATTCATCCCACTAGAACAAACCTTTCTCTTTTTCAAATGCCAATGGCAGTTTGTTTACACCCTTCAAGCGTCACACTTCTCTCTCACTAGACTGTGTTCTGTATTTATATCTCCCACGATGCCCTCACTGACTGCTAGCACTGAGCATAGCTGTTGAATGAATGATGAATTATTTACAAAGGAGCTGTGGCCTGAAAAAAACAACTCTTGCATTTCAAATTTGTTTAACCTACTTACCATTAAACTAACTTTAGGCACTTGGATGGCCTGTGTCAAAGTAAGTTGACCTATGTATGTCCTAGGAGACCAAAATTACATAATGAGATCATTCCAGGTAATTCAAATGCCATATTACATTTGCTGGAAATGGCTGGTTAATTGGAACCGAAGTTGGATGTTTTGCCAAGGTTTAAACCCCACACTACCACGACTAACAACTTGACTTTGGACAATTGATTTAAGCTTTCTAAACCTCAGTTGCATTATCTATAAAGTGGGAGTAATAGAGAACCTTATTTATAAGATCCTTATGATGAATAAATAAAAGCACTGGGTCTGTCACATCTAAATGTTCACTAAATGTCACTAATTTTCTTTCTATTAGGAACTTTATCAAATCTTGGGTTAAATATGCAAAATGTGAAAGCAACCAATGGACAGTTTAACCAATTGCTTGATTCAAAAATGGAAAAGGAAAGTTCATCAGTTTGTTTGATCAGGATTGCCTGATCAATTCAGGCAAAATGCTCTCTGTAGACCATGTTTGGCATAGACCCAACAGTGAATCAAGTTCAGAAGGCATGGAATTAAACAAACAAAACTAAAAAAATAAGAAATGGAATACAGTTTAAAAATAATTTTTATTACTACTCTTCAACAGGACTTGTTTATCTCCTGCCTATTGTGTTAATTCAAAATGCAATACACAAAGATTTTGCCTCACTCATATACCCACATAGCAATCCCTGTAAATTCCAACCCTTCTTTACAATTTAGAAATCCTTTTCTAACTCGGTATTTTCACTCAGTTCCCATTAGAGACCTCTGAGGCAGTTTCTGTAGGTAATAGCCTCAGAAAATTGAAGTTTAGAGACATTAGATAATGTACATAAATCATCTTGCTCCATAGCTGGCACATAGGAGGGGTTCAATACTGGCTTTTGTCCCTAACATTAACAAAGTCACCTGATGTGTAGTTGCTATAGCTGTGACTAAAGCCCAGGCCTCCGATTTCCAATGCAGAACTCTTTCCAATATACCGCTCAGCTTTCCCCACACCCAGCACCTTCTAGGTGGGACAATAGGCTTCCTCCAGCTCTAACGTAGTAGAGGAACCTCTCTGCTTGGAGCTGAAACACCAAGATCCTTGGTGTTAATAAGGCTGGAAATGGAGGCTTGAAGGGTTTCTTGATGGCTGTGGAAATTTCCATAGGTATGAACCCCTATAAATACTCCCAGAGTCACAGAAGAACTTCACTTGTGGCTTCTGGCAGACTTTTCTTCTGGCATGACCCCGTGTGAAACAGAATGCAGTCTCTTAAACCAGTCCTTTCCCCCTTTCCCGGAAGCTCACACAGAGTCCTTCTGAGATGTTTCTAAGTGTCTGTGCTGCTGGGAACCACAGCAAATCGACAGGGGTAACAACGTTGTAGCCCTGCTGCCTAAATTACAGAGAAAACAACAAAGTCATGTCAAGCATGGTGATAAAAGAGTGCTGGGAAGACACACAAAAGAAAGGGAATTGTATGCATCTGTGTTTACCGATGGTCTTAGGCTCTACAGCAGCAATTCTCAATCTGTGAGTCATGACCCACAAATTGAGAACCACTAGTGGGGTCGCCTAAAGACTATCAGAAAACAAATATTTACATTA